GGAAATGAAAGCAGACAACAGAACATTGCTAGAGAGCCGGAAAGGGGGTAAAAGGAGACAAGTTTAGAGAAGAAACTTTTTCGGTCGCTACTCGGATTCGAACCCGGGACCTTTGAATGAGAGGCCAACACCTTAACCTCTAGGACACGAGAGCCCCCCTAAATGGCTTGCTTTGGGGTTGTGAAAGTGAGCGAAAATTCAAAAGTGGTGAAATTAAATATATCAAGACAGTGGGAAAAACAGTTTTAAAGCATGGATCATATTATGGGAAGTCAAACACACAGTATTCCTGCTTTTGGGAAACATAACTAGTTTACAACAATACAATTTGAACATTATGCTGTCACAAAAGACAACCGGACCTCAAATAAGATGAAGTAAGGGTTCATATTGAATTCGCCCTGAATTATGTTTTAAAAATGCGCCTCTTAGGCCCAAAGTTCAGTGCATCGAAACCTCAGAATAGATAAGACTAAAGTTCATTCCTTTTGTGGGATTTCTGATAGCCTTTGCCATGATCCCTCATCAAATTGGGCATATCTTACTCGTATCATTGAACACAGCCAACATGCCCATATATATGTTTTCAGTGATGGTCCTTTGACTCGTTTTAAACAAAAAAAACCCCAACAATTTCTCTCTCCTCAGTATGCACTTTTAAAAATTAGGATTTTAGAGTGCATACTGGAAATTTTCAGAAGTAAGGCACACCAGATTGTATTGGGGATCTTGTGAAACGGGCATCTCACCTGTTCGTGAAATGTGGAACGGATAATACATTATTCTTTCGGCAAGCTCTATTGCAAAAGGGGTTTCAAATACCAACTCGCCAATTATACTTTATATGAGATAACAGACAAGGAAACTGATCCTTTCATAAACATGCTGCCCGAAAAGAAACCCAAAGCCAGTCCTTCAAGTGTTCAAAAGATCCGTAGAGAAAATCAAATACTGAGCTATAAACAGTTATTGTGCTGGGGCATTAATTTAAATGAAGTGAATTCATAAGAGCAGCTTTGAACCCTGTAGGTGTTTCTGTTAAACCTAGATTAAAACATTTATTGACTAATGTGACTCGATTTTGTCACCTACTTCCTTTCCGTTACCATATTTTGTAGCCGTAGCCGTAACGTCAACGTCTTTTCCGTGACCAGTTTCCCTCGGCGTTACCAACAATTTCATGAGTTACAAAATGGAAACTGTTCATGCAATGCCATTTTTGTGTGGATTCCAGCACAAGCCCATGCCGACCACTGTCTGTATTTGTGGTTTCATGCATTATCTGGCTTTGTTATAAGATCGAAAACGATTGGAATTAAATTATGAAAGTTTTCACTTCTCGGTCCTACTGAAGTGGACAAATTTCTTAATGACATAAAGCCCAAGTGATTAGCCTGATCAAACAATTAAAATCCTAAAATGGCATATTTTCTCCAGAGTTTCCAATCTCCCTCGAATGTTTAATTGGTAACCGAAAGGAACACTCTTAAGCACAGTACATAGATAGAGACCTCTATCATTGCTATTGTTCAGAACTTCAATATTTTACACCAGAGTGGCAAAGACCTTCCGAATCCATGAAACAAAAATTGGGAAATATCACAACTTCATTTTCATTTTAAAAATGCGATGTCAAATTTCTGCAATTAAAAAAAAAAAAAAAGTCCCATATACCGACGGTTTTATGCTCTAATTGTATATAACTGGAGGAAATGGGTATTTCTTTTTTCTTCTTCTAGAACCATTTCTGAAGTCGATCTATGGATCCTGAGGCGAAAGTAATGCAGAATACAAAACGTTCCCATTGGTGAATCCACAATAAGAATCAGTACAGTCACCATTTAGAATATTAATAGTCTCAAAGTAAAAGGACTATGCGCTACTTTTTTTGCATGTCGTCTCTAATCGTTAAATTCAGAAGAGTTTGTCTTCGGTATTTGATAGGGTTTTTTTATCATACATTGTTTTGTTTTTAATGTTTTGATTATTTTTGTTTTCAAGAACAAAGTTACAGATAGAACATTGCACCAGCGATTTGCTTTTTGTGCTCAATTGTCCTGACGATTTGATGTTGCTGTTGTTAAAACGTCAGACTTTATCAAACCATTTGACTGTTTTATACTATACGCATGGCATACAAATGCACCTACGCCGGACATCTCTCTCTCTCTCTCTCTCTCTCTCTCTCTCTCTCTCTCTCTCTCTCTCC